CCCCTGGGACCCCCCCCCCCGCGGGGATGGGATCAAAGGGAATGGGCTTCCTTTCGACTCAACTACAACGTTGCTCGATTTCGCTGTGGCTGGCGCGCTCGAGGAGGAGAACCCGGTGAAAGTTGGTGGAACGGCGACGGGCCTGGGGAAAAGGGGGGAAGCGAGCGGCGAAGGCGACGACGACGACAACGACCACGACGACGACGACGACGAGTCAAATGGAACAGCCTCTTCCATACGCCGACAGGGTCGGCGGATTTGGCTGATGACGGCGACTTCGACTTCGACGACGACGACGACGACGACATTGATGATGACGAGGCTGCTACTTATGATGGTAATGATAGTGAGGATGACGAGATGGAACAGGAGCACGGTGATGATATGGAGGAGGAAGGGGAGGAATTGGAGGGAGGGGAGGGGGAGACGGGAGGAGAGCGGGGGGAGGGTATTGGATGGGGCGGGGGTCGTGAATTGGAGGAGGAGGTTTGGGGGGGAGGAAGAAGAGCTGGAGGGGAGGGGGAGAAGGGGAGGAGGGTGGAACTTGGTCATGCATGTGTTCGTAACACCCGCTTGACCAAGCCCGTCGAGCCTAGGGACATTACCCCAGTTCTCACGTTTGAACGTGCTGAGAAGATTGGCACGGGGAGGTCCCTAGGACGGTGCTGGTGAGCGAAAGCGGCAGTGAGAGGGACGCGAGGGGAGAGACAACGGTTGAATTGTCTCTGACTCGTTTTCCTAAGTGCGAGTGGCCTCGGGAGTTTCTGAGCAGTGGAGCCGCGTCCGTCTCGTTCGCTGCTCCTGCTGCTGCTCTCTCCCTCTGCTCCGAAACCGCTCCTGCTCAAGCTCTATCAATCGAGGGGCCCCCGGCAGTGCATGGGCGTGCCGTGGGCCGCAGCCGGCCCGTGGGCGGCCTCCATCGCGACTGCGTGGCTCTCGCGCTGCCCCGCCTGCCCAGAAGCCCGCGTGACGTGCGGGGCCTGCCCCGCGTGCCCTGCGGCGGCGGCCGCCGCCCCCTGCCCGGGCTGCCCGAGCTGCCCGGACTGCAGTCTGACCTGCGGGTCCGGGCCAGGTTGGTGGGCGGTCCTTGCCGCCTTGGTCGCCGGGCTCGCGGCTGGTGGCGGCCTCCGCGTGACGCTGGGCTGGGCTGCCCGAGTCGCCTCGCTCTTCGTCGGCGCGACCGACCCGCCGCCTGTGACCCTGCTCGTCGAGGACGACGGAGCTGGCCAAGACGGCGGTGCGCATCGCCGCTTTCGGGCGGTGCGGGCATAGCCTGATCGTCCGCCGTTGGCCAGATGGCGGCGATGCGGACGCTCGACGTGCCCGAGGCGCAGGTGTGCGTGAACTACGACGACGACGACAACTTTCGGTGGCACCACAGGGTGCTCCTCGAGCAGCTCAGCCCTGGCGTCTGGGTGGCGGCGACGCCCGACGGCGAGGTGCTGACGCTGGACCTCAGCAAGCACCTGGTCGTCCCGTTGCGTCGGGGGTCCGCGTTCCCGGTGCGGGTTCGTGGGCAGGTCTATGCGTTCGGCGACCAGTCGGACGAGGACATCGAGGCGCTGCGGGTGGAGGCGCGAGGCCTCGCCCTGGTCATGGGCGTCTCGGCCCCAGCTGGGATTGCTGGGGGCATCGTGCCGCGCTGGATCGTCTCGGACCCAGGCTCGCCCGAGTTTGGGCGCGAGCTGGACCTCCAGCTCATCGGCAACCCGGAGCGGCTGATCAGCCGCGACGCGGTGGGCATCGCGATGCTCAGCGAGGAGGAGGGCTGGGTCTCGGTCGAGAACGTGCAGCAGGCCGACGAGGAGGACTGGCGCGCCGAGAAGCGCCGAGGCCCAGGACGCGACCCGCGGATCCTCCCGCTGGCGCGCCGGGGTCGGGGGGTCCAGGTGACGCTCGGGGAGGCGCTCGCGAAGATGAACGCGGTCGACTTCGACGACTGGCCCTTTCGGGGGCCGAGGGCCCTGCCCGAGCTGCTGGCCGCCATCCTGGCCACCGGGCTGACCCTCACGTCCTACTGGGGGTACTGGGTCTCGGAGTCGGGGGTGTCCCGGAACGCCGCGGTGGCCCAGGAGGTGCGGCACGCGCTGAATCAGCTGCACCACGCCGTGACGTACGACCTCGTGGACCCGTCGAACTTGGCGTCTCTGGAGCTCCTGGGGCGCCGAGTGCTGCAGATCCAGCGTGCTGTGAAGAGGTGCCCGCGCCACCCGAGTTTCGAGGGCCTCGGCTTGATGTTGAGCAGCTCTCTGGACGAGAGCGGAGGCATCGTGACGTCGCGGTTCGACGCGTTCGTGGCCGAGGAGCAGAAGTCGCAGGGCATCATTCTGAAGCAGGGGCGGATGTACCGGGAGGAGCAGGAGTCGGAGGCGAAGAAGTACGAGAGGCAGGGCGACGACAGGGAGAGGGGCTCCAGGGCGGATCCGAAGGGCAAGGCGAAGCCGAAGCCCAAGGCCGCCGCGAAGGATCAGGGCTGACGGCGCCATGTCGGCGCCATCATGGCTGGGCCCTCCGCCCGGCCTCACTGGGCCTGGCCCTGACTCCGCAGCCGCGGATGCGAGTCGGGCCGGGCTGCTCTCCGAGGGGGTCTCCTCCGAGGGTCGGACTTCGTCCACAGTTTTGTTTCCTCTGCCGCAGGGTGACGAGTTCTATCGGCACCCTCATCGCGGAGAACGTGCCGCTCTGCCTCGGTATCTGGCCCAGCGTGCTGCTCGTGCTGACGACCGTGATCGCAGGTCTCTCGAGACTCTGGGCGCGCTCAACGCGCTGGCAGGCGCGCGGGCTGGGGGGCGTCTCGAGCCTCGAGCGCCCGGCAAGCATCGGCCGACTACCGCCCAGGAGTCGGTCATCAAGCGAGTCCGACGTCGTATCCGCGGGTTCGGCGACCGGCCGAAGGACATGGACTGTGCTGGAGCCCTTCAGGAGCTCCTCAAGTGCAAGGATCTTTACTCGAACATGGGCGAGGCTTCTACTCGCCGCGACTATGATGCTGACAAGCTCAACGTGTTACGACGTGCGCCACAGGACCAGCCTCGTCAGCTTCGAGACGTTGCCCCTCGGCACGTCACCGAAGCGCTGGACCACTTCGACTCGGACGTCGTTCGCCCCGCGCCGAACATCCCCGAGGACGAGGTCATTGTCGAGCCGTGCTGGGACCCTCTCCTCAACCCGCGGGACCCCAGAACCGGCCACGTCTGGTCGACTTCCTTCGACGACTCGCTGCACGGGGCCTGGTGGATGGCCGGGCGCGTCGGAAGGCGTGCGTCAGTACCTTCTTCGTCGCCAAGAAGAACGGCGACATCCGCATGGTCGTGGACGCTCGCCAGCCCAACCAGCTGCACAAGCTTCCCCCTCGGACTGTGCTCGCATCGGGCGAGGCGCTGGGCTCGATCCACTTGCTCGACGCCGTCGGCGCGAGCCCTGAGGACTTGGCGGATTTCGACGGCTGCTATGAGTCGCTCTGCGCAGGCTCCGTGGACCTCATGGACGGGTTCTACCAGTTCGCCGACCCTTCGTGGGGCAGCTGGATGTGCTTCGACGTGGAGGTCACCGCTGACGAGCTCGGGATCGACTCGATCTACGACGAGAAGCTCGGGCGCCGCGTGGCCGTATCAGGCGACGACGTCATCTGGCCCTGCTTCGCGGCGCTGCCCATGGGCTGGAGCTGGGCGCTCTGGATCTGCCACGAGGTTCTCGTCGATGCGATGGTCGAGGCGGGCTCCCGAGCGACGGCTGGTGCCTTGACAAAGCCCGGGCGCCGACTCTCGTCGGACAGGCTGTCGTCAGGGCGCCGTACGTCGACAATGGGAATCTTGTGTCGCTCAGCGCGCCGGCGCTCAACGACCGGCTGGACAAGCTCACCGCTGAACTGGACCGTCGTGGGCTTCGCTGGCACGAGCTCGAGCGCGCGCAGCCCGGCCTTGTCATCTTGGGGCTGGTGCTCGACGGGCGCGAGGGCCGACTTCGGCACACCGCCAAGCGCGCCTGGAGGCTCTACCTGGCTCTGCACCACGTGCTTCGGATACCATGGCTCGCCCGCTGGCAGCTGCGACGGATCGTCGGCCATCTGGTGCACCACTTCTCCGTCGTGCGCCCCGGGCTCAGCGTGCTGGGGGCCTGCTACACGTTCATCGGAGACGGCGACCTGTCCACTGTCGTGCGCTTGCCTGGAGATGTTCTCGGTGAGCTCGCAGTCGCTGCGGGGCTCGTCTTCCTCGGCGAAGTGGACTTGTGCCGCGTGCCGTCCGACGTCGCCTTCACGACCGACAGCTCGCTGCGAGGCTACGCCGTCTGCGAAGCCCGGCTGGAGCCCTGGGAGGTGCTGGCGGCCACCAGATGGCGGGAGCGCCAGCGGTTCGTTGCCACCGAGCCCGAGGTTGCGCCTGACGACGAGCAGTACGAAGGACGGGCCGCCGGCTTCTGTGACATCTCCGAGCCACTGCCCGTCGAGCTGCCGCCCCGGCTGCGGCACGCCGTGGCCGAGAGGCGCCGGGTCGAGTTGGAGATCGGCGTCCCGCCCGAGCCGTTGGCGGACGCTCTGCTGGATGCTGGCCGCTGGGTGGAGCGCCGCCGTGGCGCGTGGCGCCGGCCAGGGCGTATCCACGCCCTCGAGGCGCGCGCCGCCGTCGCACCGCTATGGAGAGCGGCAGCCGATGTCAACTTCCACGGGAAGGAGATCCTCAGCCTGTGCGACAACATGTCGTCGGTCCTCGCCTTCGAGAAGGGCAGGGCCACCAATTTTGAGCTCCTGGCACAGTGTCGCCGGGCTGCGGCCGTCTGCTTCGGGTGCGAGATCCGCTGGCGCCCGAGGCACGTGCCTGGCATCTACAACGTCGCGGACCACGGGAGCCGGGCGGCTGACCGGGGTGAGCTCCTCCCCGGACGCTACCGCGGGCGTGGCGCCCTGTCGGCGCCCACCAGCGGCAGCCGCCGAATGCCCGTGGTCCCGCCAGCCGCGGGCAAGGCCGAGGCCTCGCCGACCACGGCTGTCGAGTTTGAGATCGGACGAGAGCAGGCCGAGCTGCTGGGGCCTGAAAACATCGAAAGAGACCGTTGCATTCCTTTACCTTTGTCACCTCAGCCCGTCTCTGACACGGATTCCCTTTCTTCCCAGAGTAGAAGGCATCAAGATGAAGTCTCGAAAGTACTCCCCAACGAGCGACCCCGACGAGATCGACATGAGCATGCTCGAAACCTACCTGTTGCACTCGAGCCTCCTGGAGTTCCTCTACGGGGCCCACGTGTACACCTTGGGGCACGCGAAGATCCTCAACAGGACCCTCCTGAGCGCCCTCGGCCTCTTGCGGTTCTACGACGGGGCCCACCTGTACGTCTTGGGCCACACGAAGAGCCTCAACGGGCACTGGCTAAGCGCCCTCGGCCTCCCGAAGTTCTCCGACGGGGTCCCCCTCGTAAAGCCTTCCTCGAGATCTTCGCGGGTACTGCAAATCTCAGTGGTGCGATGCATGAGCGAGGTTTCCGGATCATGCCCCCAATGGACTCCAAGTATGGGCCCCACTGTGACCTCACAAGCCGACGTGTCCAGCATCTCGTTGAACATTGGCTCAAATCGCGAGAAGTCTGGTGGGTCCACCTTGGCCTGCCCTGCACGAGGTGGGTGCCAGTCGGGGGCACGCGCGATCCAGCGCCGGCGGACCGCACGCTTGTGGCGTTCACAGTCCGTGTCGTGCGACTCTGCCGGTCCCTGGGGATCTTCGTCACTTTCGAGAACCCGCCTGCGAGCCGTGTCTGGAGGTGGCCCGCGTTGGAGCGAGAGCTGCAGCGCCTTGCCTGGCCGAAGGTGCTGTTCGACTCGTGCAGGTTCGGCGCGCCCTTCAAGAAGCCAGGTGCGATCGCCGGGAGCCTTCCCGGGCTGGGCCATCTTGCACTGCGCTGCTGTTGCGCTTGCCGCCATAGGGTTGAGCTGCAAGGCAAGGTCCGGCATCCGACGCGGGGCTGGACGTGGCGGACGACTCTGGCCGGGGCTTACCTACCCAGCTGGTGCCGCCTGCTGGTCTCGTTGGCCGGCCCAGACGCCCCTCAGGGTGCTTTCGGGCGCTCAACCCAGGATGACCTCCAGGCTCGGGCTCACGCGCTGGCAAGCGCGGCCGGGGTCGCCGAGCTCCGCGGAGTCACGGCGCCGATCTGCCCGCAGCGCTTTCGGCTCCCCTGGAGGCCAGGGTGGGCCACCGCGCTCGACCCGCGGCCGCGCAGCCGCTGACGCGGCCGCTGCACCAGTGCCGGCGCAGCCGCGGTCGCGCTGGCAGCCGCGGGCAACGGCTGGCGTCGACGTCCGCGAGGCAGACGTCGATGCAGGCGCCGACTCAGCCGTGCTGACGCCCAGGCGGGCAGGCCGGAGCCAACGTGACCCTGTCCCTCGTCCAGTGGCCGTGGCCGCCCGGCGCCGCCGGGCGCAGGCTGCCGCGCGTGGAGACGTCGCTGCTGGTCAGCGGCAGGCCGCCCCCGGAGAGTACCTCCGCCTGGCCTCGCTGCGGCCAGCCACGGTCGACAGCTACACGTCCGCCGTGATCGAGCTGACCGACTACGCCAACCGCCGGGGCCTGCTGCTGACCACGCCGGAGCAGGCCGACGAGACGCTCAACTTGTACTTCGAAGACTTGTTCTTTGCAGGTGAGCCCCAGTACCTGGCTCGTAACGCGTTGTATGGGCTCTGCAAAGTTCGAGGATGGTCTGCTAGCCGACCTCGCTTCCATAAGGCCAAAGATGCTCTAACTGGTTGGTCGGCAAAACTGCCGACTACGCCGCGAGAGCCGCCGCCGTTCGAAGCCGTCCAGCTGACCTGTGCCGTGCTCGACAACGGGACCACGTCCGACCTACTGGCGTGCCTGGCCTCCGTGACTGGGTTTGACATGTACTTCCGGCCAGGCGAGTTGCTCGCCATCAAACCAGAGCACGTCTTGGGCTCTCGTACGTCGGGCAGGGCTTCTGACATCACCGTCGTCGTGGCACCGCTAGGCGACGACAAGCCAGCCAAGAACAAAGATTTTGACTGTACGGTGAAAGCCGGCACTGACTTGCCAGTTCGCCGAGTCGTTCCCGAGATTCTCTCTAGGCTGCGAGCCCGTGCCAGACGTCAGAAGCTGCCAACTCTGTTCCACCCTCTGTCCCTTCCTCTCTTTGAAAAGACTTTGAAGCAGGCCGCCCACTCAGCAGGAGTTGGTGATCTCCTGTCAGTTCCTCACCAGTTGCGCCACGGAGGGCCCTCGCACGACGCTCTGAACAAAATTCGACCGATCGAGGCCATCCAGCAGCGCGGGCGCTGGCGCGCCCGAGAGAGTGTTCGTATCTATGAAAAGCACGGGTCGGCCCTTCGTCAGAGGTCAAAGCTCACTGAACTGCAGATCTCGTCAGCCGCCCGTTTTACTGACTCGACAGTTCGTGACATCCTCAGGCGCGTGTGCGCCACCTAGTCTTGTCTCTTCGCCCCAGCCTCAGACCTAACAGTGATAATGATTTATACCCACCCGCCCTCCCGAAGGGCATTTGACGATGGGGATGGGACGCAAATGTGCTGTGTGTGTGTGTGTGTGTGGCAATTTTTGGTGATTGCACTTAGCCGCTGAAGTTGTGCCACTTCCACGGCTCGTGTTTTTAGAGTACCACCGTGTGCCCCACGGCGCTTGCCTGATGAAAAAGGTTGATGACCCCTCGTCTCTCGGTTTAATCTGTGCGCTGTCGCTGTTTCCGCAGACCCCATGGGGTGGCCACGCCCTTATGATAGGAATGAATTGTCTCTGACTCGTTTTCCTAAGTGCGAGTGGCCTCGGGAGTTTCTGAGCAGTGGAGCCGCGTCCGTCTCGTTCGCTGCTCCTGCTGCTGCTCTCTCCCTCTGCTCCGAAACCGCTCCTGCTCAAGCTCCCACCCACCGTCCCCCACACACCACGCAAATGTACTGTGTGTGTGTGTGTGTGGCAATTTTTGGTGATTGCACTTAGCCGCTGAAGTTGTACCACTTCCACGGCTCGTGTTTTTAGAGTACCACCGTGTGCCCCACGGCGCTTGCCTGATGAAAAAGGTTGATGACCCCTCGTCTCTCGGTTTAATCTGTGCGCTGTCGCTGTTTCCGCAGACCCCATGGGGTGGCCACGCCCTTATGATAGGAACATGGATTGATCACATGCTGCAAGGGCATGCGGAGAGGCAGGAGGGGACACGATGACAAAAGAGCACATACGGAAATGTGAGGAAAGCGATGATGAGGGACAAGGGAGGAGACAAGTGACATTACCCCAGTGCGACCCTACCTAGAAGTTGGAGCCCCTAGGAAATCAGCATTAGTTGCTATGCTATGCTATGCTATGCTATGCTATGCCATGCTATGCTGCGCTATGCTATGTTATGCTATGCAATGCCATGCTGCGCTATGCTATGCTAGGCTATGCTATGCTATGCTATGCTATACTATGCTGAGCTATGCTATATCATGCTGCGCTGTGCTATGCTAGGCTATGCAATGCTATGCTATGCTATGCTAAACTGCGCTCTGCTATGCTATGCTATGCTATGCTATGCTATGCTATGCTGCGCTATGCTGCGCTATGCTATGCTATGCTATGATTGGCTATGCTATGCTATGCTATGCTAATGCAGCGCTGCGCTATGCTAAACTAAGCCAAGCTAAGCTCAGCTAGCCCTCTAGGCAGAGCCTAGGTAGGGAATTACACCCATGCTAATGCTATGCTGCGCTATGCTATGCTACGCTATGCTATGCTATGCTATGCTGTGCTCTGCTATGCTAAAGCTCAGCGAAGCTAAGATGAAGGTAAGCTAAGCTGAGATAAACCTGAGCTAAGATGACGCTAAGCTAAGCTAAGATGAAATAAGCTAAGCTAAGATGAGATAAGCAACGCTAAGCTAAGGGGACGTAACTGGGGGAACCGCGGGGCGGATACTGGGGGAACCGCCCGGGCCGGTTCCCACTGCCCGGCCCTTTAAGCCAAGAGAGTAAGAACCCTTCTAGGCGGAGCCTAGGCAGGGAAAGAGGGGACAAGACAGGGGACACGGCATTGGACAAGGTATAGAACAAGGCAAGGGACAAGGCAGGGGACAAGGAGAAAGAGGAGACAAAGAAGGGGACACGGTGGCAGGAAGACAAGAGACGGCAGACAAGAAGAAAACAGAGGAGACGGAAAGATCGGGGGACGCATACGGGCAGTGGTGGGGACGATGGCCAGCAACGACATTGATATCATGATTTGTGTTCTACCCACTCCTTCCTATATCTTTACATCTATGTATGTATGTATGTATGTATGTATGTATGTATGTATGTATGTATGTACGCATGCATGCATGCATGCATGCATGCATGCATGCATGTATGTATGTATGTATGTATGTATGTATGTATGTATGTGTGCATGTATATATGCATGTATGTATGCATGCATGCATATATGTATGTATGTAGCTAGGTAGGTAGGGATGTACACATGTATGTATGCATGTATGCATGTATGCATGTATGCATACATGCATGCATTTATGTATGTATGCATGTATGCATGTATGCATGTCTGCATGTATGAATGCATGCATGTATGCATGCATGCATGCATGTACGCATGCATGCATGTATGCATGCATGTATGCATGCATGCCTGCATGTATGTATGTATGTATGCATGCATGCATGCATGCATGCATGTATGTATGTATGTATGTATGTAGGTCTGTCTGCCTGCCTGCCTGCCTGTCTGTCTGTCTGTCTGTCTGTCTGTCTGTGTACCTGGGTGTATGTATGTATGTATGTATGTATGTATGTATGTATGCATACATGCATGCATGCATGTATGTATGTATGTATGTATGTATGTATGTATGTATGTATGTATGTATGTACGGATGTCTGTGTGTGTGTGTGTACATATGTCCCTTTTCTTATCCTCTTGCTCCTCTCCTCTTCCCGCTTCTTCTCCTACTCCCCTTTTTTGTTCGTGTTCCTCCCCCACACCTCCTCCCTCCTTCTCCCGATCCCGCTCTCCATTGTCATTCCCCCACCCCCTCCTTGATTGTCTTGCTCCTGCTTCTTCTCCCTTTTCACTTCTCCCTTCTCCTCCTCCTCCTTCTTCTCCGCTCCTGCTCCTGCTCTCGTTCTCCTCCTCCTCCTCCACCTCCTCCTCCCCCTCCTCCTCCTCCTCCTCCTCCTTCTCCTCCTCCTGCTCCTCCTCCTCCCTCCTCCCTCTTGTCTTCTTCCTCCTTCCTCTTTCCTCCTCCGTCCTCTCTCCTCTCTCCTCCCTCCTCCTCCTGTTTCCTTCCCCCTTCTCCTCCTCTTTCATGCTCTGTCCTCCTCTTCCCTTCTCTTCCTCCTCTGTTCTCCTTCCCCCTGGTACTTCCTTTCTCTTCCTCCCTCCTTCCTCTGCCTTCTCCTCCTCTTTCCTCCTCCTATTCTTGTCTCCTCCTCTTTCCTCCTCCTCCTCCCTCTTTCTCCCTCCTCCTTCCTCCTTCCGCCTTCTTCCCTCCTCCTCCCTCCTTTCTCCTTCCTCCTTCCTTCTTCTCCGCCTCCTCCTCCTCCTCCTCCTCGCTTCCTCCTTCTCCCCCTCTTTCCTTTGCCTCCTCCCCCTCCACTTCAGATATGCAGTGCCCGTGGATTCCAGGCGGCCGAAGAGCAGGCCCAGTTGCCTGGGGTCAGCTGGCCGGCGGCGGCTCTGAGCGCCGAAGCGCCGAAGCGCCGCCCACCACGGCCGCCACAGGGCGCGCGCGCGGCCCAGCCGGCGCACGCCTGCGGTGATGCCGCACGAGTGCTCGGTGGCGCGCCGGAGGGAGCGGGCCGGCCCAGAATCGGGAGCCTCGAGACGGGGGTCAGTGCAAACGGGGGTCAGCCAGAGCGCCCCGACCTTGCAGGATCCGGCAGGGCCAGGGTCGCATTGACCCGGGTTTGGGTGCAGGATCCTGCAGGATCTTGCAGGATCCTTCGCACTGACCCGGGTTTGGGTGCAGGATTTTGCAGGATTTTGCGGGACTCTGCAAGGCCTGACTGACCCGGGTTTGGATTGACCCCGGTCAGCAGGTCCCCGACAGAAGGCTCAGAAGGTCCCGGGGCCTTCTGGGCAGCTCTCCGCGCCGTGCCCGGAGCTGGAGGCCCAGTCCCCCTCGGGGACTGAACAAAAATCATGACGGGAGGTTCTGCCCAACTTTCGACCTCTGGGGGCCCGTGTTGGGCCTCGGGACCGTCAAAAGTTCGACTCAGGATGAGGAACGGGTCCTGGGGAATGGGTCGAGACCTCTGGGGGTCGACGTCGTGCAAAACTCACGACGTCGGGGGTCTGGGGAGGGCTCCTCCGAAGGCCCGAGGGCTTCCGAGAAGCCCCGCCGCCTTCCGAGAAGGCCTGCCCCGCCCCCTCTCTCGCTTCCCCCCTCGGAGCCTCGCCGAAGCTCCGCTCCACATCGGTCCTGGGACCCCTGCTTGGGGATCCATCTCGGCTCCCTCTTCCGGGCGCGTCCAGCCGTGGCGACGAGGTCCCAGGGAGGCTCAGGAGCTAAGTCGTCGGGCGTGCCCTTCCACAGGAGGAATGCTCAAAAATAGGTTAAGAATCGTCGGTGGACAATTTTTCCCACTACTCCTCGGTATTTTCGAATATTTCTGGACTATTTTGAATCTTTCCTCCAAAACCCGCCTGCGCGAGGAGGGAACAGCGCCGGGGAGAGCCGCCGCGGTCTCGATGCGCCACGTGGTCGCTCGCTCCGCCGCCCCTCCCCGCGGCTCCCCCGCGGCGCGCGTGGCCGTGGGGTCTCCTCGGCGGTCGCAAGCTCCCTTGCGGTCCTCCGCGCGGTGGCAGGCGGGGCCACCGTGGTCCTCGAGAAGCCGCGCCCCGCGCCGAAGAAGGCGGCCCCGGGGGTGGGTGGGCGGTCACCGGTGGTGTGGGTGGGAGCGGGAGGAGCAGGGATGCTGCTGCTGCTGCTGCTGATGACGATGATGATGATGATGATGATGATGATGATGATGATGATGATGATGCTGATGCTGATGCTGATGCTGATGCTGATGCTGATGCTGATGCTGATGCTGATGCTGATGCTGATGATGATGACGATGACGATGACGATGATGACGATGATGATGATGATGATGATGATGATGATGATGATGATGATGATGATGATGACGATGACGATGACGATGACGATGACGATGACGATTACCATGATGCTGATGATGACGATGATGCTGATGATGCTGCTGCTTGCTGGCCCGCCTCTGTCCACTCCCTTCCTTTCGGCAGGGGGAGGAGGTAGAGGAGGAGGAGGAGGAGGATCCGGAGGAGGAGGAAGAAACTCATGACCTTTCAAGTCATTGAGAGTGCCATGAGCTAGGCGCGCTGCCAGCTTCCGCCCGCGGGAGGCCACGACAGCGCCAACGTAACGATACTCCCTTTCCTGGATTTGCACCATAGCCATTTCCAGAGAGACGTCCTCATGGCATGTTCTTGTCATTCCTATGCGTATGCAGGTGCTTCATCTGTCGCACGATTCCGCAAAGCTTGTAATTGCCTCGGCTTCGCTGCTCGCAAACATCGTGTTTCACCATCTCTCTCTGGCGACATCCTCCTGCTCCTCACAGATGCGGGCCGTGGCTGCGACCAACTCAAAATGCATGGCACTTGTGCATGCAGTGGTGGACTCAACACATGTGCCGAAGTGTTTGTTCCGAGCGCGAAATCGCTGCAACTGCCGCAACACAAACAACAACTATCGCCACTCGCCCGTCTTTCAGTCACCGTGGACTTTTTCAGTCGGCCGCCATTTCCTCCGCCTCTCGTTCTACGACTACCAGGACCCCGACCACCGCCATCAATTTCGGTGGAAGACCAGACAGTTGCAGACAGCGCAATCGTCGACGCAGGTAGCGTTGAAAGTAACTGCAAACTTAGTGGACAGCGTGGCATGGTGACTTCTGGCAGCGCGCATACTTGTGTATAGCAGGAACACTGTATGTATATACATATATATATATATACAGATGTCAACGAGCGCGCCTTCTCCCAGTAATGCAAATACTTCAGCGCATCCGTCACCAGCGCCACCAATCAGCACGGACGAAGGCGATCAAACGGCCACACGGAGATGCATTAATGGATAGCTCTACTACTTCTACACGCGTTTCGGTTGGATGCGTGTAGACTTATCGGTACTCTTATTGTTGGAGTTCCTTTCTGTCATTGCAAGAGTAGGAAGAAAAACGCCTGTTCGACAACCCAAGCAATACACATACACCGCGCCTGTTGAGACACACGCGCATGCGGCAGGAGCAGCTGATTCAGATGGTAAGCCCACACATGCAAACAATGCGATACCGGCAATCCAATAGCTGAAGCTTCATCAAGAAACAAATGTAGTATTTCAACCAACCTCGACAATTTCAGTGTACATGTCAAAGTGAAGTGCTTGGTGCAGCTCATACGAAAGCATGAAGAGTAGGCTAAAGTTGCGCTCCGCACACGACTTTTTTTCTTTCTCGAAAGCCGTTAACGGCGAAAGGTATTGTTTTCGATGGTTGTTCGACACATGATGCCCTCCGACATTGTTCTCCGACGGCTAACGCGTTTGGTGTTGCTGGCATGCTTCTTCACGACGCCCTCAGGGCGATAGTGTATTCGGGATGAGGTGGAGGAGGTTGCGGGCTTGGTTCCATTGGAGGTGAGGAAGAGGTGTGTCGGTGACTGGTGGGTACCAGGCTACGCATCCCGCTTTGCAGCAGCACTTGGCTACCTTCTCTTCTCCACCCCTAGCTTTCTTTCCCCCCCTTCTGGTGGGACGGGCACGGGCGCGCGTGTGTGTGTGTGTGTGTGTGTGTGTGTGTGTGTGTGTGTGTGTGTGTACGTACGTGTACGTGCGTGCGTGCGTGCGTGCGTGCGTGCGTGCGTGCGTGCGTGCGTGCGTGCGTGCGTGCGCGCGTGTGTGTGTGTGTGTGTGTATGTGTGTGTGTGTGTTTTTGTGTGTGTGTGTGTGTGCCTGTGCGTTTTTTTTGGCGCGTGCGTGGGTGGGTGGCGGGTAGGGCGTGGGGCTTATAGATAGGCCGGCGCCGTCGGAAAACATCGGCCCGACTTTTCTTTGCGAAGGACTCCTGGCCGTCGGCATCTCAGTTGACTTGCATGTAGGGGAGGCCGTTTCTTTTTGCCACCAGTCTTGGTGCCTGAAGCGTAGATGGGCGGTATGTAGGTGGTGTTTGGGTTTTTGCTTGGGGGAGAAGTATTCGGCGGCCCTTCAGTCCCCCCACAGACAGGGTGAGGTCACTTATTTCCCGCAGCACTACCAGCACGCTGCCTCAGTGCCAGTACGGTCGATTATTTGCAGTCCCCTCCCAGTCAGTTCGCGCGCTCTCCCACACTTCTCTCTACGTTCTTTTATTTCCTTCTCCCGCCCGTCGACTGGACAACACGGTTCGTGCGAATCCTGTGAGTAGTTCTTATAAAGAACGATGGTCCTGCACCGAGGAGGTTTGGGATGAATTGATTAAGCCCTAGGTAGCAGACCGCGTGTTGCAATTTGCAAGCGGCGTTTCTCAGTGCACTCACTCTTTGCCAGCTTCCGCACCAGCCTGCTTGACATAGTGCTGGTGGGGGGACATCCACGAGAGGAGTAGGTGGAGGATGGAGGTAGTCCTGTCGTAACGGCGCGTCGGCCAAACGCAGTGTGCGCCAAGCCGTCAGCTCCGCTAGAGGCGGGCATGTTCATTCCTGGCCGTCGGCACCTCAGCCAAACTGCGTGTGTAGGAGGCCGTTTCTTTCTGCCACCGGTCGTGGTGCCTGAGGCGCGGAAAGGGGGTGTCTTGGTGCAGTGGGGAGCGGAGGTAAATCAATTCGGATGCTTGCCTCCTTGCCAGCCCGCCGCCTAGAGCGCCCGCCAGAGAAATAGTCCCATCTCACGGTTGGTCCCCTCGGCAGCAGAGGTGAGTGTGTCGACCTCTTTGCCAGCATTATTCGGCGCCAGTCATAATGCCGTTTCAGCCATACAGCACCTCCCTCTCGCCAGCCGGCCTGACCAACCAGACTGGTGATGCCAGAATACGCACTCCGCTTTGCAGCAGGACTTGGCTACCTCTTTTTCGTCTCCACTCCTTCCGAGTGGCCTCCCGTTTGCTCCATGCTCTGCGTGGTATCCACGCCGCTTGGCACACGCATGCCATACCAGGGCAATTTTTTCATTGGCCCTTTTTGGGTATCGTTACATACGCCCCGAGGTGCACCAGTAGGCAGGCTGATTAAATATACCTGCCTAAGCCGCTTTGAGCGGCGCAGCGGTGCAATTAGAGGGGTGGTGGGGATTCGCGGTTAAGGAGGAGGGGGAGGCGGAGGAGGAATCTCACGCTCATACCAAGGCCAGGCAATGCCGGACCAACAGCGTGATCGTGCTCCAGCATCGGCAGAGCGCTATCACTGTCAATTTCTCTTGCTATCCACTCTTCCTCATGGTCTACCGCATGCGTCGTCTGTTCTATGTTTGTTCACGCTAAGTTCGCTGCCGTCCTTGACTTCAGGGAGGGGTCGGGTAGAGGACTTAGGTTGTGGAGGGAGGGGGCTTCTGGCGGCATCGTCGACGATATGCCTGTACGTGACGCCGCCCACTGCGGGCGTAGTTGTCTCCTACTCAATTTTTCTGGTTTCATCGGGAGGTGTAGCATGAGGTTTTTCTCTTGTGGTTCTCTGGTATCTGCCTCCATCTGTCGCTTCGGACTGGGTTACTCGCGTCCTTGATGCCCAGTATTTTTTGTTTCTCCTCTTTGAAGTACCCTTGGTGCACCCGTCCGCGGCCTACTTTGTTCGTTGTTTCGCCTGAGTCGGCGATTATTTTGCTCATCGCATAACGCAGCAGGCCCCGCTTCATGTTTGCCTAACGAAAAAGGAGGAGGAATAGGACATATGATGATGATGATGGTGATGATGATGATGATGATGACGACGACGATGATGATGATGATGATGATGATGATGATGATGATGATGATGATGATGATGGTAATGATGGGCTGTTGATGATGCTGATGATGGTGATGAGGGTGGTGATGATGATGATGGTGATTCTGATAATGAGGAGGAGGAAAATGAGGAGGATGAGGAGGATGAGAAAGATTTTCCTCGACAGGACGAATTCGTATTTCGGATGGACGATGTGGCAAAATCGTAATACGAACAGGGGACCCGTTAAGTCGGGGGGGGGGAAGGGGGTGGGTCCCATTACTTGTTGTTGGGAAAAGAAAGTCTATGTGGCGGCGACGGGGTGGCGACAGGGCGGCGACGGCGACAACATAACCACATAACCGCCAGATCGTCACACCGTCCCAGACGACGGGCGGCGACGGGGCGGCGACGGGGCGGCGACGGCGACGACACAACCGTTAATCAGTCACAAGAAAGAGTTCCCAACTTCCTCAATGCAAACACTGTTTGGGGAATCTCGATGTTATCTAGGACAGAGAGAAAGGGATACACATAATGACAACTATGCTACATCTATATATATATAGAAAGAGAGAGGGACATAGAGAAAAAGAGAGAGAGAGAGAGAAATAGAGAGAGAGAGAGAGCAAAAAGGAGAGAGAGATAGAGAATATGAGGGATAGAGAGGGAGATATATAATGATATATAGAGAGGGAGAGAAAGAGAGACAGAGAGAAAGAGAGAGAGAGAGAGACAGAGAGAAAGAAAGAGAGAGAGAGAGAGACAGACATACAAAACAACGAGGGAGACATATAGAGAAAGAGAGAAACGGACATTTTTTTTTATATATATATATATATATTACAGAGAGATAGAAGACACAATATAACGACATGGAGAGAGCGAGAGATAGAGATATATAGAGAGAGAGAGAGAGAGAAAGAGAGAA